ATATAACAAAACTAACCTAAAAAATGAATCAATTCAAACTGAATCGGTCTGTCATGATCCAATTTTTTAGGCGTTAGAAGCATAGTTCGTGACTCGTGGAAACACAGTAAAATCAATTTCTCGAAATAAAAATGAAGTATTTAAAACATAAGTTCATACATATATTTACATTATATTAAAGTAGCATTTATACAAACATAGTTTTAGACACGAAATAAGGAACAGACTTAAAAACGTTTCAAAATCGATCAAAGTTTGAGGACGCGTAACTGATCTATGACTCTCACTCCAAAGTTTGCTCCCATCCTCGACCAACTCATAGCTACTTGGAAAACATAGAAAACAAGGAGACTCAATAAATAGCCAACTTGTAGGCTCTTAGTCCTATTCTGAAATTAGGGTCTATAACTTCTTGAGTGTCCATGGACTTAGTACATAAATCTTAACTTGGTTCATATGAGATGATCAACTTGGAAACTTTCCCTTAAGTGGCGTTTAGATCACTCTCCATGAAAGAACGACTTGGTCAAATGGTTGGTGCAAACTTCATCATGATATCCTGCTAATAATATATGATGTAGGACATCTCATCTAGTTCTTAAATTTGGAAGGAACCCGAGAACTTGAACAAAAAGCAAAAAGCTTATAACTCATGATTGCAAGCTCGGTATTGCTTGCTTCTTGCTCTGTCTGAACCCCCTTGGCTTATAATTTATAGAGAAAGTATCCGTCGCCTTTGAAACGTTCAGAACCGACATGATTTCGTGGTTGATCCTTTTAGATTTTTCATTGAAAAAATCTACTCCGATCAAAGTTTTGCCGACTTTAGTTTTGAACACCGTTGGATGTGATGTGTTGTAGACGTTCTAGATCATATCCAATTTTGAGGGAGATCTAACCGCTAGATTTCTAGATAGAATGAATTATGTGCAAAAGGGTACTATAGACGATTTGATTTGATTAACGGTGACAATTTGGTAATTTTAAATTTCAAAGATGTTTTATTAATTTCATTTTCGAATATATTAATCTTATTAAAAAAAAAAAAAAAAAAAGTTCAACCTTAGCATAATCTTAATATATTAAGCATTCTATTAAAATTTTATGGACAACTAAGTCCAATTAATGGGTTATCAAAAATGTATGTTTTTGTTCCTTTAATTTGCACCAAAGTTATTTCTACCATAGAAAACTACAACAATTTCATAAATTTTGAAAGATTGTTGCCAACATATATAAATTTATCGTGGTAATTTGTTATAATTGATAATATTAAATCTTCATTACTACATATAATGGTAAAAATTGATTCCATTCCATTAAATAATTTGAAAACATTTAATATATTTAACTCCCATTCATTCACTTCTTTTAATTACACTCTCTCCATTGATTAAGCCTTCTTCCACTCTTTCCAAGTGAACCTTAACTGAATTTTTGAGAAGCTAAAATTAGAATTATATATATATATATCAAAACTAAGATTCAAAACTACATTTTGCTTAATTAGTAAATAAATAAAGACATCAATTTATATATGTGGAATACTTTGTTGAAATTATGTTAATAAAAACTATTTATTTAGTTTTTTTTTTAATTAATATATATTTTAAAAAATATATAAGAAGATAGGACAAAAATTTCCTAAAGAAAATTTAATGAGCTCGAATTTCTGATATGAAATCTCTATCTCGATCATCACAAAAGTCAATAAAAAAAATCAATAAAAAATTAGTAGAGATAAAGATTGAAATAGGAGATAAGGATGGAAAGCTCTCTAGTTTAGATTATTTCATAGGACCTGTAATTAAATTTTTAGGCTTTGATTAATGGAAGATAAATCCCATTTATTTTTGTAATTAAAGATATAGGAAAGGTACAATTATTTTTATTTTTTTTATTTTTTCAGTAATATCACTACAAATGTAATATTGACTTAGAGTCCCTACATATGTATGACATTAACTTTTTTATGAGCAACATTCCTTTGAAAACAACTCCATAAAACGATGTCATAAACTTACACGTTTATGAAAGAGTCTTAAAACAATACAAAGGAAATTGTTCCCACAGTGGTATGATATTGTCCACTTTGAGCATAAGCTCTCATGACTTTGCTTTGGGCTTCCCCAAAAGGCCTCACACCAATAGAGAGTGTATTCTTAGATTATAAATCCATGACCGTGTATTCTTAGATTATAAACCCATAAACCGAGCAGCCATCCATCGCCATTACCCAGAAATCCATATACTAGTCCCAAATACACAGCCTCAACCCAAGTCACTCGTCTGCAGCCCAAAAACGAATTCAACCCAAACCATCTCTAGCCCAGATCCATTAGCATCAGCCCAGTCCCACTTCGGCCCAACCTGCAGCGGTCCTAGAACCCAAGGCCCAACACCTGCGATAGGCCAGCACCCGTGGTGCGACCCGCAACCAGCACCTGCGCCACGACCCCAAGTAACATGCACACGCGTCAACCTCTGATTGTGCCACATGACACACCTGCAGCGAATCACCTCCTCAACTCAGTCGCCTTAAACGACTCAGATTGGCTCAGCTCAGCGGCTTAGAACTCACTTATTCAGCTCAGTAAAGGAAAAATTAGCAAATTTCCACCGTTTCGACATCTCGAAGCTGAATTTGACCTCATTTAAGGCAAATAAGGTCATTATATGGATAAATTTATCATTTTAAGTTCAATTGAGTTAAGAGTTCTTAGATTACTAACGAAACGGGATGAATATTGTTATAGGAAACGACAACCGGCGATAATTAGAGCAATTTTGAAAAACGGGAGGGAACGTACTCAAATTAGGAAAAACGCTACCTAAGGCCAACCAAGTAAGTGTGTGTTTTATGATGAAACATGCTTATGGCTTCACATGTGTCATATGCCCGTATATGCAAACTGTTATGAAATGATACGTATATGTTGTGAGACGTGATTGTTAAGTTGTCATTGATGAATTGATATCTTTGTGATATGATATGTTAAGATATGATACGTTGAAGGAATGCTCGCGATATGTTATGTAACTATTATGATATATAATATGATATGTGCATAATGTGAATTGTTATATCTAGATGCATAAAAATGTTATGATATGACATATGCATGACAAATTGGCATGAAATACAATCCCAATACACGCATGGAAGATATGATAAACGATATGATAATAATGATATGTTATGAAGGAAGACACTAGGAGGTTGTGGTATATGATAATGAAAATGAAAAAATGTTGGGACCTCATGCATTATTGTGTGTTCATGCATCGGGGGATACCCATTCTCCCTCACGATAGTATGGACGTGTACACTACGAGGCAGGGAAACGATCATTATGTTTACCATAATACTGCCAAGATAGTCGTTATTCCTACAAGGTGTCCAACATCAGTAGCTATCAGAGAATGCTCGCCCGACCAGAAAGGGACTAAAGAGGTGTGAAAACTGACTGATAGGTCCATACTTGCACATGTGGATCGTGTGTAGGGAAATTAAGTACACATCCAATTGTCCGTTTAGAATAGACTTCGTAGGAAAATAGACTGTTATGATAGGTCCCACTCATGAAATTGTATGTGATTGCATTTAACCTCGACAGGGAGTCGCTTACAAAGTATTCCTTAATACAAGTCATGTGCTACTCTCATTTTATCAGGTAAAGGCAAGGCTCCCCTGTACGGTTGATATTGACATCGCAACTAAGAGACTATGGCACATGATTAAGGTAGTTTCGTAATTTGAATTTGATTAGACTATAGGTAAGTACAAGTTAGTTGCATTTTCATTTATTAGCATATAGATTAGTATAAGGCATTTTTACTTTATGTTATTTTCCTTATTTCAATTTGTATTAGTTTGTTTAAGAGTAGGGTCATATTTTTATTATAAAGTTTTCAATAAAGCATTTTCGCATTAAATGTTCATAATACATATATAGTAGAACTTTATGTTAAATAAAAAATTTAGGTTCGTATCTACTAATGTGAATTGCAACACCATTTAAAACATTATATTTTATATGTTTCTTTAAATTTCCACTCAGAAGTTATTGATACAATAGCAAATTGGAAAATTTTGATAATTTCGAAAATGTGGGTGCTGAAGTATATAAATTTCCAGACTAGTACTTATTATAACTATTATTGTAGCGGTTCATATATGATATTTTGCACTTCGGTTCTAAAATTAGGAAAAATTACACAAGCTATCCTTGATGAATGGTGTTTTGTTACAATTGATCCCAACTTTTAATGCAAAATATTAAATCTTGAACTTCTACCCATAATGGTAAATATTGACTCTATTTCATTAAAAGAGTTACAATTTAAAAACATTTAATACACTTAAATTTCCATTGATTAACCCTTAAAAGATAAGCCAATCTGCTCACCAGAAATTCAAAGATAGACTTGATGCAAGAAAATCCTTGCACGCTTGCCAATGGTAAAACTTTTTTTTTCTTTTATTTTTCGAGGCCCATTTGTATAATTTAACTTAAAATAAATTTAAAAATTTCAACCTAAATCAATAGATAAATAGCGTAAGTTAATGGAAGATAAATCACATTGATTATCTTTTAATGAAAGATATAACAGATAAAGTTATACCTTAAAACAATATGATAATATGAGGAATGTATTCTCAACATCTAAAGTTCACTCATTTGATTCACTGCTTGGTAGGACATCTTGGTAGGACATCAAGATATGATATAAAGAAAACAAAAAAAAGTAATCAAAGAAAAGCAAAACAAAAAGCTTACTCCAAATCCTCTGGTTTTTCATAAAGATGACGTTCATGACTATCTTATCTATGAGCATATAGATATCAAGACTTAAAATATTGCCTAATTTGGTTCATTTATGTTGATTTAAATGGAGAGAGAAAAGTAAAGAAAGAAAGATATTGGAAGATATGTTATCCATATGTGTATAAATAGTTTATTGCTTATCTCTAAATCATTGGTTAGAAAATTTCTTTCTACTCATAAACATTATGGTCACCGCTCTTGTCTTCAAAGTAGAAAGATGTCAATCAGAATTAGTTGTTCCAACAAAACCTACACCTCAAGAGTGGAAACAACTTTCTGATATTGATGATCAAGAAAGTTTTAGATTTCAAGTTCCCATGATACAATTTTATCGAAATAATCCAAGTATGGAAGGGAAAGATCCTGTGAAAGTGATAAAAGAGGCCGTTGCAAGGACACTAGTATTCTATTACCCTTTTGCAGGCAGAATTAGAGAAGGGTTTGGTAGGAAGTTGTTTGTCGAATGCACAGGTGAAGGAATCTTGTTCACTGAAGCAAATGCAGACGTGACTCTAGAACAGCTTGAGAATTCTCTTCAACCCCCGTATCCATACATTGATGAGCTTCTTTACAATGTTCCAAATTCTGATGGGATTCTCGATTCTCCATTATTGCTCATCCAGGTATACACTATCGGTTTGTTTTAAATTTGTCGAGAAATTAATTTGGAAGCTAAGACTAATTGAATTACTTGAATCATCGACGAAGGTGACACGGCTCAATTGTGGTGGGTTTATCTGTGCCGTTCGTTTTAATCATGTGATGACAGATGGTTTCGGTATGGCCCAATTCATGATGGCCATAGCTGAAATGGCCCGTGGGGATCTTGCTCCATCTATTCTTCCAGTATGGCAAAGGGATCTCTTAAGTGCAAGGGACCCTCCAAGAGTCACTTGCCAACATCCTGAATATGATCAAGTTGATCATGACAATGACATTGAAGGCACCATGATTCCCTTCAACAACATGACTCAACGCTCATTCTTTTTTGGCCCAACTGAGTTATCTATTATTCGTGAAACATTACTCACTCACTTTCACAATTGCTCTTCATATGAGCTTCTCACAATATTCATTTGGCGTCTTCGTACCATAGCCCTTCAACTTAGTCAAGATGAGGAACTGCGTCTTCTTTGCCTCGTGAATTTACGCACCAAATTTAACTTCTTTCCATTAGGGTACTATGGCAACGCATTTGCTTTACCCGCAGCCTTAACTACTGTAGGTAAGCTTGCCCAAAATCATATAGGTTATGGTATAGAATTAGTTGAGAAAGCTAAGGCAAAGGTGACCGAGGAGTACATGAAGTCTATGGTGGATCTGATGGTGATGAAAGGGCGACCCCATTTTAGTGTGGTTCGGTCATTGCTAGTGGCAGACTTGACAGAAGCTGGGTTTGAGGAGGTGGACTATGGATGGGGAAAGGCCATATATGGTGGACCTGCGAGTGGAGGAGTTGGATTAGTCCCTGGTTTGATAAGCTTTTGTGTACCTTTTAAGAATAGAAATGGGGAGAAGGGAATTGTGGTGCCTCTGTGCTTGCCAGCTCCAGCCATGGAAAGGTTCGTGGCAGAACTCGATGCCTTGATGAACATAAGAACTCCTTGAACTTGAAAAGCTATCATTCCTTGCATCTGCTGTGTAATAAATAAAATGATGCATAGATGCTCGAACACATGTATAATAACAATTTGCTATCTTATTAGTTTTGCTGATTTTCGATGATCTTATCTTTTGTACCGAACACTAGAAAAATAATAAATTTATGAATTGAAACTATTGTATGAAGCTAATTTATCAAATTATTAGTACTCATGAAAGTTAATTTATCCTTGCTCTCTTCCTCGGAACAAGAGAAACAACTATGTATATAAAATGACCAAAAATTACTAATAACAACTCTTTAATAAATCGAAATCACACTATCAACATGCTTTAACTACATAAAACTCTACTGCCTCCCGGTAAAATATAACTCTCCATAGCCACTTATTTACACAGAGGAATCAATATCTTAGTCATACACAATTAATAGAGTACGAAAAAAGATTAAGAGATTAGAGAGTTATAGAGTTTTTGTTTCACGAACGCGACTTTGGGGCTAACTCAATAGTGTAAAAAGATGGATAAATTTTTCACGAAAAAAAAAAAGAGAATTTAAAATATAATATGCAATATATTTAGATTATATCACAATAGAGTTCATATACAAGTAGTTAATACACAAAATATTTAAAAACAAAAGAGGTTGAAGACGATGAGTGAAGCTTGTCTATGGCACCTACTCCAGAGTCCGCTCCCAACCTCGACTAGCTCCTTATTTACCTGAAAAATATGAAAAACTTTGAATGAGTACAAATACTCGGTAAATAGCCTACTTGTAGGCTCTTAATCGTGTCCTTGGTATGCTGGAGTATCATACTCCTTATCTTTGTTCTGGTTCTAGTTTGCAAGTAGTTAGGCCCTTGGGTTATGTTCTTGACTTGTGAGTGCTTATCACAATCTAACTCGAAGACCTTAGTCCTTGAATTTTGAGGTCTGACTTTGGTTCTGATATAAGGGCCTTGGTTGTGGTTCTAAGTTCTTGTCTTCAAAACTTGAATCTTAATTCATGTTGTAGTTCTTGACTGTTGTCTTGTTTTTTTTGTTACTTTCTATGTTCTTGTTTTGTTCTCCAAGACACTCCTCCTAGGATTTACAGTACAGCCATGAACCTGAGAACCTATGTCCAAGGCTTCATACGTTACAAGTGATACAGTCTTAACCTACGTTCAAGACTTCATTCATTTCAAGCGACGTAGTCAGATTCCACATCTAGGACTTGTGTACCCTACGATACAGTTTGTATACGTATGACCAAGAATTCATGCGTTCTAAGCGACATAGTCTGAATTCCTATGCTCATAGCTTCTTATGTTCCAAGCGATGTAGTCTAAGTCGTGAACATTTTGTACCGTGTGAGGTTTAAGGACTCTTGGTTCATGGCTAAGGTAATATACTCACTTTTTGTGCTAACCAGAGACTTATGTTTGTTTCTTGTACCATGAGCCATGACATATTGTCAACCTAGTAGCTATTCCAAAATGTACCCAAGATTACTCTCCATGAAAGATTTTGAAGGTCACAGGATCAGTGCAACACATGGACGTGACATCCTGTAATCGTGATTAAGGGCTGTACGGCGTGGTTCTCTCGTTCCCCATGCGAAACAGTTAGGTTTAGTCGGGTTTGATCGAAAACCCCTGTTCCCCCATGAAGCTATTGACACCATTCACACATCTAGCAGTATAAGAACACTCATAAGGTAGTTTGTAAGCGAGGGTGGTTTGTTAGGCTTCTAGGAAAAATGTTAGGTCTAAATTAGGTAACTAATCAACCTAACCACAAGTCCCTAGTTTTAACACGATACTGATTCAGGAGGATTAAATTGGTGTGCACACATTAATTATCTAGAATCATGATACATAATTCATGCAAAATAAACATATATTCTCAAGACGGTGATAACATCCATCAAGCACTCAGAGCACAGATTTACAAATTCTCATCCTCCTTTTAGCATGAATTAAACACATGCATATATAGCGGAAGCATAAAACATGATTGCTCTCTCATAATACTTTACGTTGTGCATCCATAATCATATTACTTCAACTCATTCCATGGACAAGCTACCACCTAAGACAAATATTCTAGCATGCATGCAACCAAGCGAGTTCTTCAAGCATTTCTTACTAAATTCCGTGTGGTGACTTAGATGATTGATGCGTGCCCTTTCACTTAACGTTTCTACATAATAGGGTGTCCAAAAAGTGTGATTTTCTTCAATTAGATACTAAATCACATAAAAATATTGTTAGAATTTGAATCAGGATGAGAATCGACCAAATAGAAGTTAAACGGGCAAAAAAAAGGGCTTACACGCCAACCACACACCTACATGCACCTTGAAAGATACTACTTGGAGGAATCAAGCGCGAGTCATGTCCTGCAGTCGTGGGTTGCTGGGCCGGTTTGGGTGGCGGTTCAAGTCTCGGTTTGATTCACTCGGGTTGGACCGCAGGTTAATTGGTTCGATGGGTAGTGGGTCGGATTGGGTTGGTACACGGGTCGAATAGGGTTGCAGAGGACGTGTGTCACTACGACACGTGTCCCTTTGTTGTTCCAAAGAATTTTCCTCTCGCCGGTGGTGACACATGGCTGGCTAGATTGTAGTTTCATCTGCATCCTAGTATTTTTTCTTCAATTTTACTTCATTATAGACCGATTTACGAACATAGGAAGTAGGTACATTATCCTTTCTTCCTGTTCTTGGAAGAACTCTCGGAAAGTCAATTTTCGGTTAAGTTTTTGGCCAAATTCTTTCACAAAATTTGTGGGGAATCCTCCCTAGAAGAACATATCAAAATTTTAGACCTTAAGTCATAAGAAATGGCTCGAATTTGAAGAAAAATGTTGAAAGATTACCTTTCTAATCTTCTCAGTCCTTGACGTAAAATGGAACTTCGATTACTCAAATCTTCTTCTCCCTTCTAAGAAAGACTCCTTGTGTCACGGTCTTGGCCGGAATGAACGCCATGACGACCCCTTCTTTCTTCTCTCTTCCACTTCTCTCAACTTTCTTCTCTCTTCCACTTCTCTCAACTTTCTCTCACTCTTCCTTTCTTTTGCCCGTATTCTATCAATGTCACTCAAGACCCCATAATGAGCTGAGAGACAAAATGACTCATTTGCCCCTCTGCCGACTTTTACTTTTACAGAATTTTTTTTATATAATTTTTATTAAATTTTTCTGCTACAAAATATGTTAAGTAAATTCATACATGCTGAAAGAGATATCATTGAAAAGTAGGTAAAAAGGTTCCTTGTTGCACCATTAATCTTGAAATTCAGTCTAAATATTTTTTCATAAAAATTTTCTCATTGAAAAGTAGGTAAAAAGGTTCCTTGTTGCACCATTAATCTTGAAATTCAGTCTAAATATTTTTTCATAAAAATTTCAGAATCAATATTAATCTTAATGGATATTGAATGAATGGAAGTATATTCAAAGAAGTAAAATTGTTTTATTTTGTGATAACTATTTGCCTTTTACATTATAAAAAAAAAACATAATTTCTTTTTTATATAGAAGAAGCTAGCATACTATAACTAGGGAGGAAATTTAAAATGAAGTCCAACTTTATTCATAATTTAGCCTAAATATATATTTTTCGGGCCATGCATATCACTCGTTATCATTTTATTTTTATTACAAAGCAGATGGAATGATCCTTTGCTAATGGCTATCAACTTCATCAACCAAATATTCCACATTCGACATGGCATGAAACTCTGCCGCAAGCAGAGAGGTTCCATAATTCCCTTTTCTCCATTTTTATTCATGAAAGGTATACAAAAGCTTATCGTTCCAGGGGTTGTTCCAAGCCCTCCTATTGTAAGTCCTCCAAAAATGGTCTTTCCCCATCCAAAGTCTACCTCTTCAAACCCAATTCTCGTTATGTCTGATATAATGAATGACCCGGCTTCATTGTAATGGGGCCGTTCTTTAATTATCATAAGATCCACAACGGACTTTACGTAATCATTCGTCATCTTAGTCTTAGTCTTCCTAATCAACTCTACAGCATAACCTAGTGGGTTCCCACAAAGCTTTGCGGCTGTGATGAGTTCCGCAGAGAAAACAAATGCATTACCGTAATATCCTATCGGTAAAGAGTTGATCTTGGAACGTAGGTTCATGGGGCAAAGAAAGCGCACTTCCTCCTCTGGGCTAAGTTGAAGGGCTATGGTACGGAGGCACCAAACATAGGCTGCGATGAGCTCGAAGGAGGAACAGTGGCGAAGGTGGATGGATAAAGTATGGGGAAGGGCGGAGATTTGGAGGGGACTAAAGAAAATGAAGCGGTGGGCCATGTTGTCGATGGGCATGAGGTTGCCCTCGGCGACAACAACTTGGTCGTATTCACGATGGTGACAAGTGACTCTTGGAGGGTCTCTTGAATTAAGAGATCTCTTTGCCATATTGGAAAAATAGATGGAGCGAAAGCTCCACGAGCTATCTCCGCTATAGCCTTCATGAATTGGACAAGGCCGAAACCATCAGCCATTGTATGATTGAGACGAATTGAAAAAATGAAACGACCACACTTAAGTCGTGTCACCTGCATGATCAATAAAGATGTGTAGATTGGAATCTCGTTGGGAGAAGAACTACTATATTAATCTTGAATCTTTGTTTTATACTTTCAAATATCTAATTTTAATTTATATACCTAAACGAGCATGGAGAATTGATGCTCCTATTAGAGTTTGGAACGTTGTATATTACATCATCGAACTAGGAAGACGAAGATGAAGACGAAAATTGAAGAGCATCGCCAAATTGTTCCAAGGTTACATGATATGAACCAAAAGATATCTATCATATAATATACTTCGATGAAGATGTGAAGAAAAGGTTGTCAAAATTATCAAAAGATGTTTCAATTCATGTCACATTGAAGAAGAATGAAGTTTGATTGTTATAAATTTTGGGTGGGTTACAATTTAGAGTAATTTAGAGTTATTGTATTTCAAGACTTTTTATTTAATTTCAGTTACATTTACCTAATGGCTAATTATGGCTATAAAGTATTAACGTTACAACTCGGAATGTCTTGAATAGTTTCATTTTTTAGGCTAAATAAAGCTTGTATGTTGTATTTGTAAGCAGACTTGGAAAATATATAGTAAAAGAAGCATTTGTGTTTTCTTTAGCCAATGACTAAGTTTCTTTGCAATTCTATGTAGTTTAGGTTGCATGTAGAATCATTCAAGCTCGACATGATCAATCTTGCTTGTGGAGTGATTTAAATCTCAAGCAAGTGTTCTTGCGTTGAGATATTTGTTCAACAAGAATCGTTCAAGCTAGACATGATCGATCTTGCTTGTGGAGTGATTCGAATTTCAAACAATGTTCTTGTCTCGAGATATTCGATCAACAAGGTAATCCGAATCTTATAACCCTTGTATTGATTCCTTATCTTATCATTACATATGCATCTGCTTCAATGAACAAGATTCCTTCTCCCATACATTCTACAAATAGCTTTCTTTCGGACCCTTCTCTCAATCTTCGTCCAAAAGGATAATAAAACACCAATGTCTTTGCAATTGCTTCCTTTATTACCTTCATAGGGTCTCTCTCCTCTAAACAAGACCCTCTAAACTTGAATTATGTTCATAGAAATTCAGAAATGGATTATAAAATCAGAAGTTTTTTTGATCATCTATATCAGAGAGTTGTTTAAACTCATGAAGAATAGGGTTTGCAGGAGAAATCCATTCTAGTTCGTATCGTCGTACTTTGGGAGTAACTGTAAGTGTGAAGACGAAAGGTGCGGTATTTAAAAAGAGACAGTTGTATGAGTTTTGTTTTATATTTTATAATTGGTTCAGTTTAATAATAAATATGCATTTGAGAGATGTAATTTTAAAATGTTTTTGGATTATTTTAATTAAATAGTGTAAATTCAATAAAGATGAGTAGATAAAATAGTTATAACTATAAAAAAAATGGTTTGCACTCATGTAAAAATTTAAGAACCATATTAAATTTTCATCGATATACCAATAATTTTATCCATGTTTTATATCTTCAATAAAATGCCTCTATAAATAAAATAATCATTTAAAGTTATTTAGAAATGGTTACTTTACCTAAATTATTTTTCAATAATCTAAAAACAAAACTTTTAATTTGCAATAATTAAACCTCCATATCTTGGTAATTATAAAAATTGGCACCTTCCTTCGTGTCTTTATTATCGGATTTATTTCTCATCAATGAACACTTATGACTTTTAATTATTCACGAGCTTAAGAGAAAGTTGGTTAGTAATATATTTTATCTTATTCTCAAAATTTTGGTAGTGGTATATTTTCTTTTATTTTTAGGTATTAGTTAGTAACTTGTATCCTATTTAAACGTTGTGAACATTAACGAAGATTGCACTTTTGGTCTATTTCTGGATTCTCCATTTTTCTCGGAAATTCAATTACTTTTTGGAAGTCTAAAAAGCAGATCAATGTGTCCAGATCATTAGTGGAAACTCAGTATTGAACTATGTCAAATACTTGTTTAGAACTAATTTGGTTAAGATACGAAATAGATTGCCAAATAGTTCGAGGTTTAATATTTTGTAATTAAAAGTTTAGGTGGAGAGACACCAAATTATGAATTTTTATTTTTCTCGAAATGATGAGATAATTTAAATAATTTTTTATATTTTTGTTATTAATCAATTAAGCTAAATTTGAATTCCCTAAATTTTAAAATTTTAAAATTTTTGAACTTTTAAATTTTTAAACTTTTAAACTTTTAAACTTTTAAATTTTTAAATTTTTAAAAGCTAAGTTTGAATTCCCATTTTTGTTATTGAAAAAGGACATTGCAGAATTTATGGGACAATGTTTAACATGTCAGCTGGTGAAAGCCCCGAGACAATGCCCTACAGGGTCATTGAAACCCTTAAACATACCCAGTAGAAGTGGGAGGAAGTAAGTATGAATTTAATATCTGATCTACCTAAGACTCGATGTAGTTTTGATGTGATCTGAGTCATTGTTGATAGACCCACAAAAAAAAAAAAAAAAAAACTCACTTCATCCCGATTAAGAGCACATTTTGAGTGGATCGATGGGCTCAGTTGTATGTCCAAGAAATTGTTCGATTTCATGGGGTGCCTACTTCCATTGTGTCTGATCACGATGCTAGATTTACCTCTCATTTTTCGTAAGGTTTGCAGAAAGCCTCGGATACCCAACCTCATCTTAGTACAAGTCTTCCATCATCAGACAAATGAACAGATGGAAAGGTTAAATCAAGTATTAGAGGACATGCTCAAGGCGTGTGTGATGGATTTTGTTAGTTGTTGGAATGACCACCTATCCCTCATGGAAGTTGCTTATAGCAACCATTATCAAGCAAAAACTCATATGACTCCGTTGAGGTCTTATATAGGAAGAGGTGTCGGACACCAGTGTTTTGGGAAAAGGATGGAACCCAACAACTTATGGGACCGAAATTAGTTCAGGTCACCAACGCAGCAGTCTAGAAAATCGAATCATGAATACTTACTGCAAAGAAATGGCAAAAGAGATTATGCTAACACTTGAAGAAAGGATCTCGAGTTTGCAGTGGGCGAACATGTTTTCCTAAAGGTAACGCCCATGAGAGAGGTGTTAAGGTTCGAGAAAAAGGGGTAAGTTTAGCCTCAGGTTCATAGGTACCTTTCAAATCCTTGAGAGGACTGGTGTCGTGGCGTACAGTTTGGCGTTGCCACCCGCTCTCGCCGCTGTGCACAATATTTTTCATCTATCCATGTTGAGAATATACACATTGTACCCCACACACAACATTGAACATGAAGCACTTGTGCTTCGAGAGGACCTATCATACGAAGGGGCCCCAATCCGAACTATAACCCGAGATGCCAAGCGATTGCGAAACAAGGAGTTTCTCCTTGTGAAAGTCTTGTGGGATAATCACTTGGATAGCGAGGCTACCTGGGAACGTGAGGATGACGTTAGGAAGTCTTACCCTGAACTTTTTAGGAATAACCAACTTTCGGGGACGAAAGTTTCTAAGGAGGGGAGAATTTGTAACACTCGAACCCCGTCGAGAAACTTAAAACCTAATTTTTCCCTCTAAGTTAAACTTTCAAGTTTTTATTGAGAATCTTTTCCCTATAAGTTAAACTTTCAAGTTTTTATTGAAAATCTTAGAGGCTGAATTTTGAGATGAGATAGAAGAGATAAATGCTTGGAAATATCTCAGAAACTCAAGAAAAATATAAAAGAAAAATGGTGGAAAATTAAGAAAATGGTCAAAGTCAACTTCGGAGTGGTAATTTGGTCATTTTGCCATCTTCCTCCTTAAGAACTGAAATGGACGTTAGTAATAAATAAGTAAAATAAAATAAAATAAAAATGGTGGAAAATTAAGAAAATGGTCAAAGTCAACTTCGGAGTGGTAATTTGGTCATTTTGCCATCTTCCTCCTTAAGAACTGAAATGGACGTTAGTAATAAATAAGTAAAATAAAATAAAATAAAAATGGTGGAAAATTAAGAAAATGGTCAAAGTCAACTTCGGAGTGGTAATTTGGTCATTTTGCCATCTTCCTCCTTAAGAACTGAAATGGACGTTAGTAATAAATAAGTAAAATAAAATAAAATAAAAATGGTGGAAAATTAAGAAAATGGTCAAAGTCAACTTCGGAGTGGTAATTTGGTCATTTTGCCATCTTCCTCCTTAAGAACTGAAATGGACGTTAGTAATAAATAAGTAAAATAAAATAAAATAAAATAATGGAAAGGAAGGAGAGGAAAAGAAAAGAAAAAGAAAAGAGAGAGAGAGAGAAAGGAGAAGTTAAAGGTTGTTTTGAGAAGAGGAAGAAGAACGAGGGAGAAACGCCCAAACCTGAATTGAAACACCCTCTGTTTGTTTGTTAAATAAAAGCTATGGTTTCCTCCCATACTAGTTTTTTTACTTTTCAAAAGTCAGAATTAAGGCTTCCGTTGAATGAAGAGCCTAATTTTTTCTCTTCATCTTGGCAAGTTTTTTTCCTGCTTTCTATTTGTAGGATTAGAGTCGTTATTTAAACTATTCAAACCGAATGCAAATCAAATCAGCAAATCTCTCTCCTTTTACTCTCAGTTATTTTTCCTTCTAAGAAATTTTCCTTCGACAGATTTTTTCGTCGACGCTTTCCTCCCAATTGCGAGATTCAACACCTTCAATCTTAGCTCTCCTACTAGAGCTAATCAGAGTATCAAGAGGAGTGGTCTGAACGGTAGATCGTTCGTTTTCGGCAAGAAACGGACAAGAACGCAAGGTAAGTCCGCGACCTCTCTTGTTTCAAGATTTCACCATAGATCCAGGTGTTTTAGATGATTTAGATCTTAATAATCTAGTTTCAACACTGTGAGGAGTCTTGCAAGTTTTTAGAGGAAACACGGCCAAAAATCGCATCGAAAAACAAAATCGAGAAACTGTCCTACTTCGGTAAGAAACTGAATTTTTCTTAGTTTTCGACTTTATTTATTAA